CATATTGAAGTACTAATATCTGTTTTGAACCATTGTAATGCACTGATAACCACCAAAAACCGGTGGTGAGAAAGTCACATGATGAACCAAAGCTCATCACAAACAGCTTTTCTACGAGCTGAAGAGGGCAATATTTATATATAGACGGTGCACAGTAGGGCTGCACGATAAATGGCATGCGATATTTAATGCGCATCTTATCAGTAAAGCCGGTTCTGTAATCAGCGGTAAATCTCCATCACCTGCGGGCTTTCACATTGAGCAGCATTAACTACACAGAGCCGTTGTTCACTGATGAGCTGCGCAAAAAATCGCGCGAATATAAACGTGGTTTAGCGCAACTCGTCAGTGAACAACGGCTCTGTGTAGTTAATGCTGCTCAATGTGAAAGCCCGCAGGTGATGGAGATTTACCGCTGATTACAGAACCGTCTTTACTGACAAGATGCACATTAAATATCGCATGCGATTTATCGTGCAGCCCTAGTGCACAGTGTCATTCACACAAACACTAAACACCATCATGGTAACACACATTATACTGAAATAATGAAACAACATTAGATGTAAGATAAAACCCTAATGTACACAACTGATCAGAAAAAACGAAGAAGAAACAGTTATTTCAACAAAAAAAACATCAAATATGAAGTGTCATGCAGGGAATTCTGGGAGTGTCAATTTACGGTTTTTCACTATAAATTATACAATTACTTTTTCTTTTTCACTTCCAAAAAACGTATTTCTAACAGTATTTTACTGTAAAATTACATTAAATATAATTACATTTATTCACCGTATATAGTATGGAAACTTGCTGTTAACCAATTAACAGGTTTTTACTGTAGTATTTTTACAGTCTTTTACTGTTAAAATCACAATCATTTTTTACAGTGCAGTCACTCCACAACAAAACCTTAAAATTGAATGGTATTCAGAACAGAACAGGAATGAAAAGTACATGGACCATCATAAATTACAGTGGTATTCCTTATAAACATTTATTCTAAATGCCAAAGCTATACAAAATTGGATAAAGTGATAAACAAATAAACTTGGGCTCATGTACCTCTCATCCGACACAAATCTAAAATATGTGCATTTTTCGCATGTTTTGCATGCTTGATGTGAATTGCATGATACAGGTTGTTTTGGAAAATAAGTTGCAGCACCTTTCAGATGATATTAAAACCATGACTTGTATTCCTAAAAATATAGTATTATATGCATTTGATGACATGTATATTTATTGTTGCTCCAACAGTTTTCCTGGTTCAAAAAATGACATTTTGCTAGTCTGAATCAAGGAGAAAATAAAAAATCCATTGACAAGATTCGTGTTTAATTCCATCACTGATCAAATATTACACTCACTGTGACTGCATAACAGGCTTTCCAAGTCTCTTCAAGAGCCACCCGCCTTCCATGATAAACCAAAATTAAGTAATTATACCTTTCTGATCCAACAGAATAATTGAAAGTAGCCTCCGACACGCACACGCCTGAGCGAACAGGTTGTATTCATCATGATTCATGTACATAACAAAAAGTAGCTTAGCAACAGGTGATGTCATTATGGGATGTCCAGGGAAGTGAAGTTACAAGACGAGGTCAGCATTCATTTCCTGAACTTTTTTTTTTTTCCTCCATTCTCACAGTGACCGAAAAAGTACATTGGTACACCCATGTTTTCAAAGAGTATTGTTATCTTTGCGGAGTTACGTAACTGAACTACAATAGCCAGACTTACCATTTCCAGAAACATGCCTGTTTGGTTGATGCTTTTGCAGTGCAGTGTAGTTCATTTATCATTTAATAAATAATGACTCCGATATTCCATTCTTGAGTGAATTAAAAATAATGTTATTAATAGTAATATATTTTTTCTTTATTTTCATGAACAAATTTGTACTGTTTGTTCTTTTATTTTTTTTGATCGTTTATATCTGACTGATTAAAGTTATTGTATGTTCTCTCACAGAGTCAGATGCAAGTTTGGAGGATCAGACGGACTCTCAGAAGACAATGTGGCCTGATATCACAGACAAAAAAGATGCACCAGTGGTTAGTACTAAAAATATAGTCTAGTGTTTAGACAATATATATTTAATTTACTGCACTTCACTTATGAAATATGCTGTGGGTGTATGTTGTGACATGAATGATATCCCATGATAGTTATGTTGCAAAAATACTAGGGCTGTCAGTTGTTTATTATTGTTTCTGTCACTTAATTGTTTTATGCTGATGGATGATTTTGACTGTGAAGTTTCAGATCATGATCGTGCAATATATTTTTAAAAAGTTATTAAGTTGATATAATCGCAAACCTAACAAGACAAATGTGATTTCAAATCTCTTTTTAACCAAAATAGGCTCTTGTTTTTTTGTTGTTGTTGTCATTATCTCAGCAAGATCCTGAACATTCGGCGAGGGGTCAGTATTTACAGTTGCTTTGAGCTAAATAATTTTGAGCACCAAGCTCCAAATGGGGGCGATATTTCCGTGAAAACATAACGTAACGTCCTGTTACTCAGCAGCATTTCGGTTGGGTCCCCATGGTGTCGGGCCCATGTATAGCCAATAACAGATGTGGTCCTCCCTTTCATCTTTAGGCCTGCTGGTTATGAAAAGATCTGAGAATTATTATAAACATCTGAATATCCTGCAGTAATATATCTTTGTACATGTGGAGCCAGTGCTAGAATAAAGAAGAGAAATGCACTACCATTCAAAAGTTTTTACTTTTTGTTAAGGAATTAATGCTGTTATTCATTGAGGATGCATTACGGACATTTATCATGTTACAAAAGATTTCTATTTTAAATAAATTGAAGAAAAAAAATCGCAAAAATTAAGTATTTCCACAAAATATTAAGCAGCGCAACTGTTTTCAACACTGATAATAATAAGAAATGTTTCTTGAGCAGCAGATCAGTATATTAGAATGATTTCTGAAGAATCATGTAACACTGAAGACTGGAGTAATGATGCTGAAAATGCAGCTTTGCATCGCAGAAATAAATTGCATTTTAAAATATATTCAAATAGAAAATTGCTATTTTAAATAATAATAATATTTCCCAATATGACTAATTTTACTGTATTTTTATCAAATAAATGCAGCCTTTGGTGAGCATTAGACAATTAAAAAAAACAAAACATTAAAAATCTTGCCAACCCTAAACTTTTGAATGGTACTGTATATGCGGCCATATGTTTTCTGCCAGATGATTTTCGGTTTCAGTTTTGTTGGTTTACTCTAAAGTGCTGTACTCACAATGTGATTGTGCTTCTATTATTCAAGGTAAAACAGTTGCTTTTGGGTCCGTGTTCACAGAAACACTAGATATGGTAGCAATGAGGCGTGAAGTCCAGAAGCAATGTGGATTTGTTTATTTTGTGAGAGTTCAGGACTGGAAGAGAGTGCTAGCTAATAAAGATATAGTGTAAGTTTTCAAACAAGCAATTGACAAAATGCAGTTGATTTACATTGTAGGGCACAATGTAACAGGTTACATAATGATTTTTCATGCGTGTTTTGAGCTATAGTTTGGGTAGATCAGCCAGCCGTTCTCCTGTTGGACGTTGACAGTTTAATGTCGTGACCTCTGGGCCAGCTGTTCATCTTTACAACCGTTTAGGGGAATGGGGGCTGGGGTTACCCTTTTATGTGAACCACAAGTGCTGAAGGCCTTTTCCTGCAAATTCTAACCGGCCCTATCCTGGCAACACACGGAGCCTCGGTTTCTGCTTATTTCACCTCTGAGATCATGAGCAGATGGAAGAAATCACTAGTAGGTGTTGCTCGGCCTCGTTTCCTCAGGGCAGAGGGCGTGTTTGTGATTGTGTGTATACATGGTACGCTAAACACTGAAAAGCTTTGACGATGGTTCAATGGTGGTGTCCATCAGAAAGGCATCAGGGCTGTTATCTGCGTATCCCACCGGACAGGCTTTCCTGCAGGGACTGAGCTCAGAGAAGGAAGGAGAACTGAGACGCAGAGAAAGAAAAGCGACTGTGTGGGGCGTTCTTTGCGAACTTTGTAAAAATGCTAATAAGGAGGTATTTCTATAAAAGGCTACCAGACTCTCAGAAATATGCTCTGGTCAAGATAAGACGCTTTAATTATAACTTGATTGTTTGCACAATGCCAAGACATTTAACAGGGGGAAAAAAATAGCTAAAGTTAGCCATTGCTGTGTGACAGTTAACTAACTTGTCAACTTGTTCATTTAGATATTTTTTGGGAATATTTTAGACTGAAATAAACTGATACCACAAAATTCCTCAAATCCGTTTCTAATACAAATGAGATAATGGTGTTGTTGTTTTCCATTCCAAATTATGTCACTTCCTGGAGGGTGATGTCATCAAGGAGCTGGCTTTTTTTTAGTTTAGGTATGTTACAAAACACTAAGCACATTTTTTTAAATTAATTTTTTCATATATATTTTCTGTTTTCATTGTAATTCTTATTTAAATATTAGTAATTTTGTTGTTTTGTGATTTTGAAGAGTTATTAGTTTTATTCCGGTTTAGTTTCTATTTCTTTTTATTTTAGTTTTAGTTTTGGCAAATTTAGTACTTAAGCTTAAACTAAATGAAAATTAGAAATGTTGCCATTGCAAAAAAACGAAATAATTAAAAAAATATTTTATTCCAGTTAATGTTTATTATTTTAATTAACAAATATTTATTTAATGCTTTTAGTTTTAGTCAGTGTTGTTATTGTTAAGTATAACTTGATTTTAATTTAAATAATCTCAGGAAAGCATTGTTTAGAAACATTTCGATTAGAGAAAGAAAAAAATTTAAAAAACACATGGAGATTTCATAAGAGAAATTTTCATGTTAGTAGGAGCAAATTTTCTGCATAGTAACAAAATTTTTAAATTAATGTGCACCTAATTGTGAACCAAATAATATGATTAGCATGTGTAAAAAGGATGAATATAATATCTGATCCAATGTTAAGACACTGTGGACTATTAAAAGGTACTTCGTAGCAGGAATGACCTGTGTGCAGATGTGTGAGAAAGAGCCAGCAGGGTGGGATAGCGCAAAGAAAGAGGAAAAGAGACTGTTTGCATATGCGAGAGAGTGTGTGTGTGTGTGTGTGTGTGTGTGTGTGTGTGTGTGTGTGTGAGTTGTTGGCTTGAGACATCTGACATCCACACATCATGCCAGACTTAAAACTGTGTGTGTTTATGTGTGAGCACACACAAGGTGCAGCTTGTTCTCAGCTGTTTAATGTGGTTCAACAGACAAACCCCCTGAAGCGCTGATCTGCCAGCTTGATCATACAGTGAAGAAGACGTGTGGCTTGATCGGTCTTAACAGTCATTAGCACAGATGTAATTTCTTCCAAACCTCAAATCCTTAAGCTCTCAATAATTATTGAACTGTGTGTTCAGTGCCATTAAGGTTTTGTGTATCTCAGAGGTTCTCTCACATGGCAATTCATGACTAATTTTCCTCTTTTGAATTTTAATGCCTGTGGTCATAGTCACTGAGTCATTTGATTCAGTACAGTTGAATCAGTGCATTTGAAGTCAATATAACAGAATTCATAGGTTTATTATAAATGTTTCAACATGGCACATTATTCCATAGAAGTGCTATACTTGGCTTTGTAAAAATGACTGAAAATTTTCAGGTGATCAGTATCTTTTATTTTTCAACCTTTTTGTCCACTTTTACAGTCAGATTAATTCCTGATGGATTAGCTACCACTCCACACACTTTTTTTTATTTTTTTTTATTTTGGCTTTTCACTTAAACTTCATACACTACAATTCAAAAGTGTGGGGTTGGTAAAATGTATTTAATGTGTTTTAAGAAGTCTCTTGCGTTCTCCAAGGCTGTGTTTAATTGAAAAAAATATATACAGTAATATTGTAAAATATATTTACAATTTAAAATAAGTGTTTTAGATTTTAATATATTTTAAAATGTAATTTATTTCTGTGATGTAAAGCTGAATTTTCAGCATCATTACTCCAGTCTTCAGTGTCACATGATCCTTCAGAAATCATTCTAATATGCTGATTTGCTGTGCAAGAAACTATTATTATTATAAAAGTTGAAAACAGTTGTGCTGCTTAATATTTTTGTGGAAACTGTGATACGTTTTTTCCCCCAGAATTCTTTGGAAAATGGAAATAAAAAACAGCATTTATTTGAAGTAGAATGTTTTTTAAGTCTTTTATGTCATCAGTTTAATGTATACAAGTATTCATTTATTTAAAATAAAATCATTCTGACCTCAAACTTTTGAACTGTAGTGTATTTTAGAAGTAAAATATTTTGCAAGTGCCATTGACTGATCCTAGTACATTTTTCATTCAGTGCATTTCTCTAGATCGTTTTGAGCGCCTTCCATTCTTAATGAATCCTGAAGACTGGATGGCAGTTGGATTGGAGAAATGCCTCTGGGAAATCTCAGATACAATGTTTTGACTGTAAATGGAGTTTGTGCATGAGTGTGTGTGTGTGTTTGCGCATGCATGTGGAGTCGAGGGGCGGCTCAGTTTGGTGACAGTCTGGGAGCCGCTGCTCAAATCCTAACGGTTTCCTTTGGCTCTCAGCCTGGAGAGAATGATGGAAATGGGCTGTCAGCCAAGCAACTTCATTGCGCTGTACTGCAACTAAAAATCACCATCTTTACAATCAGCTCAAACCGGAGATTTTGGAGCTTTGCACAGTTTTAAGACACAGATCTTGGAAACACAAATGGTCCTGTAGGAACATAGCAACGTCAGGCACAGAAATTAGATTCAAAGTGTCCCACTAACTGATTAACATCTTCGTATCGTGCCATAAATTTTATCCCGAAGCAGTTGCTTTTGTATTACAGCTTTTGTTCCCGCTGCATGCATCGAGGGCCAGCGCACAGTCTGTGCATTTTCAAACCAGATGTGTTTTTATTGGGTACACTTCTGAATGCTCGGCACTCTACAGAGTCTGCTGGCACTGCCTTTTTGGTTTCTCCCCTAGCGCCGCAAATATGCAGTGGCAGCGGTGCCAGATTCTGGAAAGGGACACACTGGGCCATGTTTGGC